CCTGTGACCCTTCTTTAGGTTTGATTCTAGCTGGGAAATTTGGGTATAAATGCTAAAAACATGTTGAGGAAAGTGTGTGGGGGGGGTGGTGGGTGAGAAAAGTAAATGATAGGTAGAGATGGAGCCCAGTGAGGGAGAGCACAGATTGGACAGACAAAGGAATGGGAGAATCAATAGGGGGTGGGGTAAGGGCATGGGAAAGAAGGTGCTCGGGCCCTAAAATGACTGAACTTGATATTGATTCCTGAAGGCAAAGTACCCAAGTGGAAAATAAGATGCTGTTCTTCCAGCTTATGCTAAGCTTTTTTAAATTTACTCTCGTATATGCACCAGTTCAATAAGGAATCCCTTGATTTCATCCTAGCTATTCCTTAGGCTCTTTATACCATTTTAGATTTTCAATGAATCTTTCAGTCAACTCAACTGAAAAGGCTCCCTAGGTGAAACTCCATTGAGTATGTACTCCAGGTCAGATCTCTCCTACTGCACCAACATGTCTTTGGCACTTTCTCTGTATCCCATTTGAGCTTTTCCCACATCCATGTTCAGTCTGCAAATGTAATTTGAGTCCATCTAACGTACTCTCTGTGATGTACCCACTCTAATGTGATCGTGTCACTTGTTTGAGTTGTTGGGGGAGAGAGAGAGACATGAGTCCATGTGCTGACTCTTCACTGCTGTACCCTTATCCCAAGGCATTGCAAACATATTTGTGATGACCTGTAGTACTACTGTTGTGATAAAGGTTCTGTTTTTTTGCCATATAAATCCAAGTTATATCAACTGAGATGGATGTTGCTGTTCTGTGATCAAATTAAACAGACAACAAATATCAAAGCCCCTTCAGATGGCCTTTTCAGGTCGATTAGGCAACACCATTTAAAAAAAATTGTAACATTTAAAAATCAGAACCCATAAACACAGCTATTAGAATAATGTACAGGAAAATATGTACTCTAATTAGGTCAGAATATAGAATAGAATATCCTTTTATTGTCCCGTGTACTCCATTCTAGGAGTACAGTGAAAAGCTTTTACAATGTCTGCTTCCTTATGTTGACATCTTAGGTACAAGTACCTAGGTACAATTCTTGGATAGCAGTGGAATAAAAACAATTGCATTACTTTACAGAGTTGAAAAATAAGTTAAAAATAGGACATCATTAGAGTGCTGACATTAACGTAAGGCAGGAAATTTCAAACAGACATTACATTGTAGCAGCTCAGCTCAGGACCTCTGCACTTGGTCTGATTGCCACACCAGACCCCAGTCCAACAGCTGTCCCCACTCCACACCAAACCCCAGTCTGCTCCATAACGGCGCTTGGCTGCTCTCGGGACTAGCTGCCCACACACTGCTCCAGGGCTCACGGCCAACGCAAAGGGGACAGAGGAAGAAAAAGGAAAAAGAAAAAGAACAGGTGGACCAGTAGAGCTCCGACAGGAGCGTTCTACTCTGCCACCATCTTGCTGCACTCGGTAATCAAAATCCATCTATTTTTTGCATCTGGTCTATCCTCATCCATACAGTAGTTTCTCTATCCCAATAGAACATCCCAGATACATGTGTTGGATTTTTCTGCAAGATCATTTGTGGCCTTAATGTCACAATTTGTTTGTATGGGTAGTTGTTGCATCTACTATGATCCAAAGTTTGTCTCTGCCTCTGTGTTGTCTACGTAAATACAACAAGCCTGAAGGCTTGAATATAGAGAAACATAATCACTGTAGTGTAATTTGCTGGAATACATATGTATCTCACACACATTCTCTCCACCGTGTGCAATCAGAAGAATGAACGCTATGCTCAATTCCAGTTCGGCTTACATAACTGGACAGATTCATTTGAATATTACAATATACAAAAAATATTTCATTTAAGTAGACTATTATTCTTTATGCTAGACCACCGCAGATGTAAATTGTTCAAAGGCATTCCCAAATAAAGACATTAAAACTGAATACTCAATTCTGACTGTGAAATTAGTCTGAATTTCTATTGATGGAGATACATTCCACTAAACCCAGATTAGTTCATCGATCATCTTATCTGAAAAGTGTGGTCCTTCAGCCCTCTTGTACTCCAGGTCTGTTTAATTCCTCCT